GGCAAAATAGCTCAGTGGGCTAAGCACCCGCTTAGGCAAGTGCAGAGACCAGGGTTCGATCCCCGGTATCACATGCCGCGCCACTGCCCGGGCGCGCTGAGCCTGTGATGGACTTCAGGTGCAGTGGCACATGCCTGTAATCCCAGCATTGGGGAGGCTGAAAACAGGAGGATCACTCTGAGTCCAATCTAGTAGTGAGACCCTGAATACCCTGTAGACCCTTCCCTAAAATAAAAAATAAACATAAAGTAACAAAAAGTTACTGATGTGCATATTTTGATCACATTCAGAAACAAAGCAGTCAGGCTTCGTAGGAATCAGGCTTAAATATTACCAGGGGCTGAAAAGATTCTAGTCCAGAGACACCGAAGGGAAGAACGCGTTTGTCTGTGGATCGCGTAGACTCTTCATCCTTGGGATTCTTGCATTAGCCACAAAGCCGTAAGCCAGACTTAGCATCTTTTGCAGCTGCTTGGCTTGCCAAAAAAGTACGACTGAAATTAAACTTTGGCTTTGTGTTCCTGACCGGGGAGACTCGTAGCTTCTGAATCACCCAACCTTGCTGTCTTGAACACTCTGTTCCAGCTGGCCAGACGCAGCCTGAGTGTGGGGAGTCTGCACTACTGTGATTTTATTTATTTATTTATTTATTTATTTATTTATTTATTTTGCAGTGCTAGGGATTGAACCCAGAACTTCATGCATGCTAAACAAGTACTCTTATCTATCCCCCAAGTGCTAATACTGTCATGTTTTAAGCAAGGTTCATCTCTAACTACCCCAACCCTGAACCTCAAACTAACCATTCCGCTGGACCGCTGAGAATCCCTCCAATACCCCCTCCACCTCCTCCCCAGGAGGACCTCCAGTTGGCTCAGCCTGTCCCGAGGGAGCAGAAGCTGACCTATCTAAAACCTTTCTCCTCCCATCTTCGCCGTAGTGAGAAGCAAGTCCCGAACTGCATCCTGAGCGAGTCACTTTTACTTCTTATGGGATGTTGGGCATATGTAAGTCCAGGAAAATGAGATTCAGAGAGGCTATCTGAACAGACAGCAGAGAGTGAAAGCACACAGGAGTTTGAGAATTAGGTGAGAATACGGTGGACCTCAGAGTACTTTATACCTGTTGTGTACTGATGGGCCACAGGCCCCTCCCATCTTAAAAGGGTCAGAGTGGGCCCGCCCCTTTGCCAGGCCTTTATACTTATTGCCTATTTAAGTCCACCTTGGGGTAACTTCATGAATCAGGTACTAGCTCTGGCGCCTCTAAGGCTCTGATGTTTTTGGTTGTAAAATGAAAAATTGGCACCATATCCAAAACTACTTAATTATTTATTGTGTGCTATCAGAGTACAAATCTCACTTGGTAGATGCGTAGGCATCATGGAACCCAACAGAGATAATTTGGGCTAGGATGCTTTTCGAGTCCTGGATGGTGCACAATCATCACTGCTTCCAGGAGGGTGCCTGCTTGGTCTCAATCTTAGACTATTTCCAATCGTCTTTTGAGTAATTGAGGATACAATAAATTTTGCTGCTCTTCTTCCTGCAGTAATATCCTTCCCCAAAACTACTGCCCCTAGGATTTTCAAAACTCCCGAAGATATTTCTGGAAGATAAATGTTCCCATTTGCCATCCATCCTGAGGCTCCTGCCGAGCTCTGAGCGCATCCTCAGACACAAGCTGGCGGGGCATATCTTCTAATGCTGACGCCGGCCCGGAGAGACAGTGTCTCCCCATCCATCAATCCTAACTGCATTCAGACGCTTTCAATATGTGGGCTCCTTGATAGCTTCCACTCTATGGAAATCAATGTGGAGGGAAATGATTATTGGCACAAAAGGGGGAAGATGTAAATCTTAAAATCAGATACAGGACAGATTGGAACAATATGAGTTCTTCAAGGTTTCCATGATAATGTACCTAATAACTCTCCTTGGGCAAAAAGGCGGTCTGCTTTCAATCAATCTCACCCTTTTTTTGTTTTCTGAGCAAAAGTACCAATTATGTTGAAAGAAGATTTTTTTCTTCTCTTTTTTGATAAGGATTTCTCCCCACCCCAGAAAT